CAGGCACTCCCCCGTTGCTGAGCCTCCACCCCGTCGGCCCGGCGCGCCTGTCCGGCGGCGCCGGGATGTTAGCCTTGAACAGGAGCCACGACTCCTGTTCGTGGAGCGAGCGGTGTCCGAAGCCGTTGGCCGCCGCCGCGTCGCCGGGGAAACGTGCGTCCATCGTGTGTCGGAGTGAGGGAGAGGGAGGAAGAGGGAGGGCTCGGCGGCGGCGCACGGGAGAGGGAGAGCTCGGTGGCTAGGGCGGGTGTGGCCAGAGGCGAGGGAGGCCACGGCTTATATAGCCGCGCCCGTGTGTACGCGCGGCGGAAGGGAAGGCGTCGCCGCGCCGCCTCGTAAAGCGCTGCCCGTGATGAGGAATCAATGGCAAGGCTGACTGGCAGCAGCAGCCTTGGCATTGATTCCCGCGGGAACCGAGGCGATAAGGACGACGAATCGCCCGTCTCGCTGATTCAGCGGGCCCGCGGCTGTTTCGCGCCAAAACCACTCGTCCCGGCGCCCCCCACCGTGCCAGGTTCGGTCTGGATCCGCCGGCGTTGATTTCGGCCCAAACCGGCGAATAACGGCCTCCTGGGGCGCGACTGGGCCGTTTTTTCGGCGCCGGCGCAAAAAAATCGTCTGGGAAGACCGTTCTGCGGGCACGGCTGAAGATGCTCTTAGAAGTTTACTGAGTTTCGACAAGACCCCGAGAAGGCGGCATGTTAGGAGTCTGCACGATGTCATTGTTGAGGAAATATGCACACATATCCTTGATGCAGCATTTGACTTTGACATGGCCGTAGTTCTCAATACCAACTTGTGTAAGTATTTTCCATTGTAATGAAATTGTTGTGATGGACAAGCTCATCCATATGTGCGCAAACATAGAACCCACATGCCATCTAGCACCAACTATCGGTTACCCAGAAGGGAAATCGAATTTGTTGGGTAGCTTGATAACGATCTGGATCATTTTCGCAAAAAAATCATATGAAATGCTACTTATAATATATAGATATTTACAACTATATAATAATTGTACACAATAAATCATAACATGTATTTTCAGCTTCCATTTCTATATCCAAATTCCAAACGATCAATCCTGATCAAAATGCATTGCAATTCATTTCTGCAACAACTTGTGAGATATCATCTACTCCTTCCGTTCTAAAATAAGTGTCTCAATTTTATACTAGATTTAATACAAAATTATACTAAGCTTGAGATAGTTATTTTGGGACGGAGGAGGTATTGTTTTAGGAACCGAGATATCATCTACTCCCTCCATCCCGTAATGTAAGACGTTTTTTGACACTAGTGCAGTGTCAAAAAAGTCTTACATTATGAAACAGTGGGAGTAGTTATTAAGACATATTTATAGACACATCGGTAACTCCATTATTGGATGGCACCTGTAGGCATCAGCCAGCTAGACAGTCGAATCGACGATCTTTTGGGGTAAAGCGACGTGCCAATTTTGTCCGGATGATCCAGCACGAAAGTAAACGCCTGATCATATACGCATCGGTCGCTGCCTAGGCCGGATGACCCACGTCAATTCTGCTCTCACGCGTGCACGTGGTACTAGTAGTATCTAATTATCCTCAACAAGTTTACAGCATGCA